GATAGAGCGCATTACTCGTCTTTCTCCCCGCCGCTCGAACAAGTAGTTCCATCCGAATCTGAAAGTCAAACACAGAGCAGAAAATCACAAACATCATGTTATGTTGAGTGAAACTCGAGTCACCGCTGAAAATTGTGTGTATATACAAATAAAATGTAACATACAAATCTATACACATGTATATACAAGGATTCTCTATGTATACACGCACCTTCGCCGCCGCTGTCATCGGCTTCTTCGTCGTGATTTTGATTACCTTGTAATGAATCATCGTCCTTTTCGTCCGGTGGCGGAGGAGTAGGAGAAGTTTCGTACGGACGCTTCTGTGCAGGCATTGACTATTCAAAGCTGAGAAGTGAGCTCGCCAGCGACGGTGGTGGCGGAGGCGTTGGTGTATGGTGGTGGACTGGGAAGAGAGGTGAATAAGAAAATAGCTTTCTTCACGCTGCTTATGTAGTGTATTATTTATGAAGGAGAAAAGTACAAGTGCTTAGGCACATGGTACAGGATTCCCCTTTCGGCAATTTCACTACAATTACGATTTATGAAAGAGAAAGGTACAAGAGTTGAAGCACAAGTTGCATTATTCTTTATTCAGAAATTTTCTTATTACTCTATTGTTCACACTGTAAAGCGGAGAAGACAAGAAATAAACGTGGAAATTTGGATTTGGGAAATCCGAATGTTTATGATTATTGATTAAAAGCCCCTATTAGTACAATTTTGTTCTTTGGAATTTCGAAATTTTCCTAAAAAGGTCTTATTGAGTCCTCCATAAATAACTTCACACTACCAAGTACTATGTTGGTAAAAACTTCAAGTTCTTTTGATAGCCACCAAAATAAGATAAAAATTGATGCATATACTATTTACATCAAACTAAGTCAACTTAATTACAATTAAGTGATTTAACAAATATATATTAATTGAAAAAATACAATTAATGTAGAATGTCATTTTTAGAAGTTTATTTTTCCCCATTTCAACTAGAGAATTTATATTTTTCATTTTTGAATAATGTTTACCGAACCTAAAAAAATAGTGGGGGGGAATTCCTCTATATCAAACACACCTTATGTACAAACATATCTCACACATTTATTAATTTGATAAAATATTGAATGCTAATAAAAAAATACAAAGAAAACAACCGAGAGGGTCATATTTACTCCATTATTTTTTGAAAAAATAGTTATCCCTGTTATATTTTGTAATTAAATTTACCCTTAATGCTATACTTTTAAATTATATTCTCCCTCATAGTTATATTTTGTTTAAATATATATAACATTTGTCCTAAGAGAGAGATATACGACCTTTGTCCTAAGAGAGTTAAAGGGGCAAACAAAATATAAGCTAAAAGGATAAATTTGACTTTTTCTTAACTAGAGTCTACATAAATAAATTTGCACTCTTACTAGCATATTTGATCATAGATTTTGGATCATATTTTAAAAAATTATTTTAAAATATTTGTTTGGTCATACATATCTTTAAAATTTATCTTAAAATACCAATTTGCCCATAAATATCTTCAAAATTTGCACTCAAGTTCCAAAAACTAATACAAGTAGTTTTTTTGGGAGAATTTGACTTTTTACTCATATTACTTCAAGTTTTTTCCAAATAAATGCAAGTACACACAATTTTAAAAACTCAAATTTTCAAACAACTTCAAAATTTATGCTTAAATCGAAGCTTAAATATAATTTTCTAATTTTTCTTCCATCAGATATTTATTCACGCAAATTATAGAAATTACTTGCCTTGATGGTCTATTAAAGTAATTAAACTTCAATTATATAGAAAAGAAAAACAACATCAATATTTGTATAAGAACACAACTTTTTATTAAAATAAAATACTATTACTAGACGACATAATAAAATAAATAGTATAAATGTTTTTGGCACACGGTTTATTACATGGCTCATCGGTATATTTTTTTATTAATTTAATAAAAGATAGCTCATATAACTTTTTTATTATTTATTTTTCATCTCAATGATTTTATGTGAATAAATATACCATGAAATATAAATAAGAAAAAATTATCCACGACTGCAAATTTGTCCCTGTACTTCAAGAAATTATCAAATCTACCACTATACTTTGTTTGTACCATTGTGTCTATTAGGGAAGGGTATATTTGTGCAAAATATAATTTTGAGAAAAAGTAATATGACCTCCAAAGTATAATAACGAGGGTAGATATAACTCGAAAATAAAATCGAGGGTAAATATGAACAATTTCTCAAAATAGGGGGGTAAATATAATTTCTTTGCATTGTTATCTTTGTTTTTTCTTCTCATTTTGTCTTGTTTATTATCTAATAAATCTAATTATATTTTTTTAATGTTGTATTTATAAAATATAATGCAGCAATATAACATGGTACTTTATATATATAAAAAATTATAGCATGCAAACAAGCCAATGGGGGGGGGGGGGGGGGGGTATTATATTGTGTTGTGTTGTGTTGTATTGTATTGTATTGTATTGTATTGTATTGTCTTGTATTGTCTTGTATTATATTGTTTTAATTAATATAACATTTAAATCGATTGTATTGTTCTCTGTTTTTACATAATATCACGCATAAATAATTTAAAAAATAAACCTATAAAAAAAATAAAGTACAAGATAGAATTATCTTAAAAAAAATATAGGATTAAAAATAAAACAAAATTATTGAATAACAAGTAAAGAGAAAAGAAAAATAAAAAATAAAGGTAATGATACGATCACATCGAATCGATATCTACACAAAATGAGATTTTTCATCATTATCTAATGATGAACTTAATAATACAACACAATATAATAAAATTTTAAAAATAATCAAAATAAATATTATATTTAAACTAATAATATTCATGATACAAGATGATAACCAACATCCAAACAAGATATTCACTCTGTTTTAATTTTTTTTTTCTTTACTATTTTTCAGAATGTCTCGTTCATATTTTAGAAATCTTTTACTATTAAATTTTCAAATATATTTAATTTATAAGCATAAAAAATTCAAAACAATTATTTATTTTCTTAAATTTTATGTTAAATCAAAATAAGATAAACAGATTAAAAGTAAGATAACAACAACAACATACCTAGCCTAATTTCACAAACTAGAATTTAAGGAAGGCAAAATGTACGTAGACATTACATTCTACCTCAGAAACAATGAGATTGTATTCAATAGACCCTCAACCCAAAAGAGGAAAAATGGTCCAAATCCGTCCAAAAAAAAAAGTGGCCAAAAGCTACAAATATAATATTATAACTACTAGTATGGACGGATATCAAGATATCACATTGTTATCTACTAAGTACTAACATTCTACCGTTTGTGTCCTCCACAACTTTCAGACTAAAGTCATGTCCTCAATAAGTTGAAATTGCATTATGTCCTATCTAATCATCTCTTCTAAGATTTCTTTGATCTATCTCTACCTCCTCTGCACTGAGCATCCGAACATCTCCTCTTCATATGTCTAAACCATCTTAGTCTCGTTTTTCATATTTTGTCCTTCATCAAAGCCACTCTCACCTTGTTTTGGGTAATCCCCAGTTCTAATCATACTTCTCATAGTATACTCATACATCCATCACAATATTTCCTTTTCTTCAACTTTTATCGTGATATTCTTGATTGGTCAAACACTCTGCTTCATACAATATAGTTGGTCTAACTATCACTCTGTAGAATTTTTCTTTGAGTTTTAATCATACCTCCTTATCACACAAGACTCCGAATACGATCCACCTTGCATCAATACGGTGAGTGACATCCTCATCAATCTCTCAATTTCCTTGAATTATAGACCTGAGATACTTGAAACTTTCTCTTTTTTAAATAATTTGTGTATTAAGCTTCACTTTCATATCTGTCTCATGTGTTACGTCACTAAATTTATACTCCATGTATTTTGTCTAAGGTCACAACTAAGCCTTTTCGCTTCTAATTTTTTTTCTAAATCTCCAGCTTAGCGTTTTACTTCCTCGTGAATCTCGTCAATCAAACTATGCCATTTGCAAATAATATCATGATGCTTCATTTTGAATTTATCGCCTCAATGCACTTATCACCAAATAAAAATGGGTTAAAGACCGGTCCCTAATGCACCCCTATCAAAACTTGAAAGTGTTTCAAGTTTTCTCATTATTCTCACACAGGTCTTGACATTATCGTACATGTCCTTGATCTTCCTAATATACTCCACACAAACACATTTAGCCTCCAAACATCTTTATAAAATCATAGCAAGTATTTTCTATGATAATAAACACCATGTATAAGTTCCTTTTCATCTCTCTATCCTGCTGAATGACTTCTATAGGAACATCACAACATGTAAACTGGTTCACAAAAACTTCCAAGCCCATGTTCACCATCATCTCCATCACCCTCTACTAAACTTTTATAACGTGATTTAACAATTTGATACCCCTAATAATTGTTATAATTAAAAGTAAGAGAGTAACAAAAAATTAAAAAGAAAAAGAAAATAGAATCGAAAAAAAGGACCGACAGTAGAGTACTCCCTCCATCCTATATTAATCTATCATTATATTAAATATAGTTGTCCCATATTAGTTATCCACCTTATTAAATAAAAAAAATATTAATTAATATTTTTTTTGTATTATTCTTGTATAAATCATTTTGAAAGTGTTCATTTTTATTTGTAAAATAACCAAAAAAAATTTAAAGAGTAAATTAATAAAATTATTTCTTATTTATAATTTCTTAAGCAACATACAAAATAAAAAGGGAAAAAATACTTTTAGCCAGAAAATTTAGCCAGAATGGTAAAATAACATATTTCACCTTATGTTATTTTACTCTTTTGAACATTTTTACTTTTTTAACTTTAATATCTTTTAATTAAAAAATGAAAAAAAATTAATTTATTTTAAAATAAAAAAGATATTATAAATTTTTTAAATTTCTGGCCAAATTTTCTGACAATTTAGCATTACCGTACTAAATGAACCCCGAGTCGATAGTTTCGAATTTCGATGTCCTAAAATTTCGTGAACCGCAATCCAGTTGCCTTGGTCAGCTCATAGCTTCCGGCAACCATGCTTCGATTCTCCAAATTCTTGCCACAATTCTAATTCTTTAAGCTCCCAGTAGGGGTAGACTTAGCAGACCCCCAAAATTCTTCTTCTAATGGGTCTTCCTGAAGTCGTTGATGTTGCCCGCAATTATGCCGTCATGGTCAGAATTCAAGGCCCGGTGCGTCCCTTTTCCTAAGCCAAGATTCATATAACACATGTATATGATTTTATATCACTTTGCTTATCTTACAATTTAGTTTTGATTTTTTAAATTACTGTTCTTGAAGGACCCAAAAGGCCTGAAGATGCGAAAACATGCTTTTCACCTTTACAAGTGAGTAATTTTGCATAGCTGTATGTTGTTTATTTTATGTACTGAAGTGGAAGTTGTTAAATTGAGTGTAATTTTGTGGGTAGTTCTGGGAAGACGACACTATCAGCATCTGGGATGCTTTTGCCCAGTTCCTTTGTTAATGGTTCGGTGTCTGAGCAGATTCAGGGTGAAAGCAAGTTGCAGTCTATTGGAGGTCACGTCTTGGTTTTAACTGTGGCATCTGTTATTGAGCCATTTGTCGTACAACAGGATAGAAGTGACATATCAAAGGTTGGATTCTTAGTCTTCTTTCAGTGATAAATTCTCCCTCCTACTCATTTTATATGATGATCTTTGATTGGAGAAGCAGTTTAATAAAGAGTGAACCACTTTTGAGACACTTATTAAATATATGTATACTATATTAGAAGTTATCTAGTTGTCCTTAACATCACATGTCGATTCCAATAAGATCATGTCATTAAGTGCAAAATGAAAATGTCAAGAATACAGAGATTGTCAATTTAGATATGTACAATTTTTGAATGGTTGAAAATGGAAGATTTTCCTGGTGTTATTTCATGTATTTTTTATTTTTTTTTGGTTTTACCATCTTGCAGTTGCAGGATAAGCCCAAGCTGATTCCTGGTGCTCAAATTGATATACTGCGGGAGGTATTTATTTGAACCTACCAATTTTTTTTCTCTGTAGGATAACTTCTGTTTAGGTTTGTGGATAATAAATTGATATTGGATGTCCTTGCCTATGGTTCACAGGGAGAAATAAAACTGCAGAATGATCTCAAAGAGTCTAGCAAGGAGGGTTTGAACTGGCTACCTGCTGAACTCCTAAGAGTGGTAAGACATTGAGATAAATTTTGTAATCTGAATGATGGTTATCATAAAACCCATTATTTTATCTTATATAGGACTTTTATTTGCATTATTAAACTCTAGTGTGATGTCATTTGTTTTTTTTGTGCCCGTGAACTTGCATTGTCTCGGTAATGATAAATCAATGCTCCCTATATTTCATATTATATGGCATTATTTGACTAGGTATGGAGTAAAAAAACAAGAGAAGATTTTGACACATACCAAAAGGACTTTTAGAACTGGTGGTCTTAAACACATCATGACATTTCTACAGCTATAAGAGCATATGCCGTCAAGGGTAAAATGGTATGTCTAAAGTTAAAGAGTTCTTCAAATGGAAAGGTTCATTCTTTTTGGAATAGACTAAAAAGGAAAAGAGTATTGTATAAAATGGAATTGAGGGAGTACCTAGTTTTGAACCACTCAATCCTAGTTTTTGGCATGAGTTCACTGTTCACTTTTATGGGTGGTCTTCTTCTTTGTCACTATGTTATTACTGATGAAGCGTGAAAAGGTTTTGATACTGGCTGTCTGGTATTCTTGCTGAAGGTTGACATCCCCGTGTCATCTGCTGCTGTCCAGTCCCTAATTGAAGGTTCTTCTAGTTCAATTGAACATGGATGGGAGGTTGGTTGGTCCCTAGCTGCCTATGGAAATGCTCATCAATCATTTACTAACACTAAGCGCAGACAGGTATGCTGTTTCCTTCTTCTGGCACTTGTAACGTGTAACCATAAAAATCTCTGCACCTTTTTGTGTAAATGAGTAAATATGTAACTATAATTTCTATACATCTATAGATGATTGGTACAACCAGATCAATAGATGTGGTCGAGCCACTCATGGGGCCTTGTCAATACTCTAACCATTATCTAGGTGTGTTCTTGATGAATCTGATCTATATTAAAAAGGTTATCTGTATTACTGTATGAACTGTCTGGAATACAGGTAGAGTAAATTAAAATTTGGTTTTGTACAAATTACAATGTAGTTAGTGACGTTCTTTGATATCTAATGACTTGGGGAAATTTTCCCAAACATTAATTTACTTTTTGAACTTCAACTCAGTACGCTATTATGGTTACATATTAATATTTTTATAAGCAAACAGTTTTATTGGAAAGGAGCTCATTTGAGTCTCAGGATGTCAAGTGCAAAATGGCATGAGAAAAGAACTCTGTTCCTTTGACTGTCCATCTTAATCTAGCTCTTTCTTTAGGATGGTCCAAACAATATTTGCATTGAAATTCTAGGCTCCTTTTTTTTTTGTTGAGAAAGATACTTAATTTTCTAGTTTTTATAGGCAAAGGTCTTTTGAGACTGATTTTGTAGATTAATTATCATGTAACTGGAACTCTCATCTGATAATTTCAGGTTGAGCAAATTTCCTTCCCAAGTCAAACTCCAATGGTGGAGGTGCAGTCCAGCCTTCCAAGTGTGATAGGAACATCAACTACAAGAATTGCTCTTCTCAGAGTTCCTTCAAATCCATATGAGGTTTCATGCTTTTACTGCACTAAGTGGCATCAAACTTGTGAATGAAGCATGGCATTGCATTTGGCTGAATGAGCCTTTTTCGCTGGTAATTTTTGAAAGCTCCATTTTGTTGGTTTTTGATGATAATGACTGGCTTAGGTATTTCCTTTCAGGACCTGCCTCCATTAAAAGTCTCTCCCTGGAGTAGGAGAGGTGATCTTCTTCTGGCTATGGGTTCTCCTTTTGGCATCCTGTCTCCCAGCCACTTTTCCAATAGGTAGTTTTTGGTATATTTTCTACTACATATTGGAATTACAATTTTCTGTAATTTTTCCATCCTCGGTTGTCATCATCATAATGTATGATTACTAATTTTTATGCATTAATCGACTTGAATATCAAAGCACTGGTGTGGTCCTTGTTGCTAGTGGTAATGATGTTTTAGCTCATCTTATCTTGAGTAAGCTTAGTCTCGAGGGTCTGGATCTCTCTGGACTTCATAGAGATGTTGTTGGATGATTATTTGTCTCCCAAGTTCTGATCATGCTAAGGATTAGTTTCCTCTTTAATTCTTGTTACATCTCCTTGTGAAAGCTCTAATTTGTTTTTTGTTGTTGTTGTTATACAGCATATCGGTTGGATCCATCGCAAACAGCTACCCGCCTAGTCCTCTGAATAAAGCACTGCTGATTGCTGACATCCGTTGTCTCCCTGGTTTGAGCTTTTACCTTGCTGCTTTAGTTAATTAATTCTTTCATTGTTGGGTACTTTATTAGGTACGATGCTTCATGTTTCAGGAATGGAAGGTAGCCCAGTGTTAGGGGAACATGCAGAGCTGATTGGTGTTCTGTCTCGGCCACTTAGACAAAAGGCTACTGCTGCTGAAATTCAGGTAAACCATTTATTACTGAGCTCTATATTCTTGCTGAGATCTATCTTCACATATACTGCCTCAATTTGATATTGAAGCATTGGGTGGCAGATGGTGATTCCGTGGGAAGCTATTACATCTGCTTGTGGTAGCCTGCTTCAAGAAGAGCAACAAACTGGTAGAAAGATCCATTTTAATAATGGAAACTTAATCAGTGTTGAAAAGAAATCACACTCCAATAATATTCGGGATGGACCCACCAATGATTCTCAAGAGCATCTACTAACAGGTCCTGTTCCCCCATCCTTGATTGAGAAGGCAATGACATCTATCTGTCTTATCACTGTTGATGATGGAGCATGGGCTTCTGGAGTTTTGCTCAACAAGAAGGGTCTGCTTCTTACAAACGCTCATCTTCTAGAGCCGTGGAGATTTGGGAAAACATCTGCAAATGGTTCTGGATATAACACTAAATCTGATGTAGTTTTCACCACGTCTAATCAATCTGAACATCCAGGGGATGAGAAATTTACCGTTCACCGTAGGAATAAATATTTGCTTCAAAAGGAACTAAAAACTCCACAGTTCCTTGTTAACAATGAGCAAGGTAGCTTTAGAGTTAACTTGGCAAACACCAGCAGTAGGACCATTCGTGTTCGCTTGGATTTTATGGATCCTTGGGTATGGACAAATGCAGAGGTAGTTCATGTATCCAGAGGACCTCTGGATGTTGCACTACTACAACTACAGCTAGTTCCAGATGAGCTCTGTCCCATTACTGTGGACTTCATGCGCCCGTTACCTGGATCAAAAGCATACATTCTTGGACATGGGCTATTTGGACCACGATGTGGTAAATATTGCTTACCTAGCTGCGTCTGGATATGTTCTTGTCTAAATAAAATTTTGGGCCTTTACTTTTATTTGGACACACGCATCATGACAATCTGAAATTTCAGAATGCTCTACAAGAACTTTGTTCATCTTGAATTTCTCTCTCCTACCTCTTTTCTAGTGTTCAAAATTTGTTTGGTAGTGTCGTTGTAAATCAATTACAGGATTGGGTCATATATATCAGTTTCACATTCTTGTTACTGCTGGATGCATGATGTTTCTTCTTCTCGAAATGATGATCAAACAATGATTGATTGAGTAGTTATGAGGTGGTCACCATCTAATTTTGTGATGAAGCCTTCATATAGGGAACTTGAGGTATCCCTTTAATGGAGAAATAATAACCAGTTTGGTCAGTAAGAGGGCTCGAAAAACTGGTTAATCTTTTAGGTTAAGACGGGTACTTTGGGATTGTTTATTGATACTGACTTTAATTTGTAGTCCATGTTAGTGGTCAATGAAGGTGAGTTGAAAACCATGAGCTCTCAGGTTCAATTCCCTACTAGGTGATTTCTTTCCATCTGTCCAAGTCTTGGTGGAAAGAGTTACCCGGTACCTCTGCTGGTGGGAGGTAGTAGGTATCCCGTGGAATTAGGCAAGGTGCACACAAGCTTCCTGGACACGCACGGTTATCAAAAAAATAAATTGGACATGCCAAATTAAGAATAGGAAGTCTGTTTTGGGGCTCAAACAGGGCTAGTAGAACAAGGAGAAAGGTAGAAGAAAATAGAAGGCGTTTTTCTTTCTTGGGCTTATAAAAGCCATAGGCACTAACGTAGAACTTCATCCAGAAGAATGGCCATATACACAAACTGGATTTGGGGAGTGGAGTCCCCTGTTAATAGCATTGACAGTTTTTTGGACTTTGTTAGCTCCATGGTACTAGTATTAGTTTTTTTGTAATGGAGGCTGACATGTTTTTTTCTTCAAAAGTGTTCTGGTTTTTGCTTTTATGACTAGACACCTTCCAGTTGCCTTTATTGTAATGACATCTTACTTTATTTTTTCTTATCGGATGTCCTCGCAGGGACATGACATCTTACTTCATAAAGAAAAAAAGAGGCAAAATTCTTCAGTGTCAAGTTATTATTATCTAATGTGGAAGGAAGTAAAATTGATCAGCTTTCAAAAATGGAATTTTGAAGTAGGAAATTTCTGCTAAACTCACTTACTCAAGCTGGGTTCAAGTATATTTTAGTAGCAGCCAGGCTGTTTGTTGCAAATGCTGCTATTGTTTGTTGAAACGTGTGTGTTCCATCTTTTTTCTTTAATAAGGTTAACTTGTTTGCTACATAGACTTTGCTGAACATTATTTTCTGAAATTGATTATCTTTGTGTGTGTGATGGTGACAAGAGTTGAGCTTAAATGGAATAGTGAGGATTCATATAGTTGACTCCAGCTTGTTTAAAACTGAGGTGTAGTTGTTGTTTGTTTGTCTTTCTTTGTGCACCCAACAGTACTAAATCATGTTGCTAGGCCCTTTTAAATAATTTTATTAGGCCTTTTCATTTTGAGCATGATCATATAACGTATATGCCATATGTTCCATACCTACATTATTCTTTCTTTCTTTAGTTATTTTTTTCTTTTGTAATTTATCTTTCTTTTTCCTATAATATAGACTTCCTTCCATCTGCCTGTGTGGGTGCAATAGCTAAAGTAGTTGAAGCGAAGATGCCTCAGCTTGATCAATCATGTTTAGGAGGACATTTTCCGGCAATGCTTGAAACAACAGCAGCTGTACACCCTGGTGGTAGCGGTGGGGCTGTTGTTAATTCAGAAGGACACATGATTGCCCTTGTAACAAGGTAATTGACTTTTGGATGACTACTGAGGATGCTTATAAATTGTGGATATTTTTTTTCCAGCTTATGCATGTTTAAGTTGTAATTGCTCTTGAAGTTCAATAAAATGATAGTATGGTTCATTGCATTCTGGAGCACTTTGAAAAGTCCTTGAAGAAAAATATTCCTGTTTGATTGTATGTTAATTGTACTTACCAAAAAATGTGTGCTAATTGTATGCTTTGCATACAGGAAAAAAAAATATGGCGTCTAATTTAAATGATCTGATTTTGGAAAATTAGATTATTTTGTCCTCTCATTTATGTTGATCTTCACATATCATGGTCTTTCAATAGGTCTCACCATCCATTGAAGTATTGAAATATTTCATGTTGAAACTTTGTCTTCATAGTCTTATTTTTTGATGCAGTAATGCTAGACATGGTGGAGGGACAGTCATTCCACATTTGAACTTCAGCATTCCATGTGCAGCTTTAAAGCCCATCTTCAAGTTTGCTGAAGGTACTTTATTAGACTGTTTCTGATACTTCCATTCTTAGATAATAATGGACTTACCTTCAGTAACCTTTGATCCACAATGCTCTTAATAAGTTTTGCAACTTAATATCGAGATATATTTTTTGTTTCTGATACGCTTGATAAGCACAAACCCAATGCCTGATGGTTTCTGTTTTTTTCTGGCAGACATGCAGGATCTGTCACCCTTAGAATATCTTGACAAACCAGATGAACAGCTTTCTTCTGTGTGGGCATTAACTCCACCTTTATCTTCTAAGCAAAGCCCCTCTCTTCTTCATCTACCAATGCTTCCTCGAGGAGATAGTAACAATGATGCAAAGGGCTCTAAGTTTGCTAAGTTTATAGCTGACCAGGAGGTCATGCTAAAGAGTGCAACTCAACTTGGCAAGGTTGAAGGTCTTTCAAATAAACTTGTGCAAAGTAAGTTATGACAGTGTCCCATTAGTCTCACAAGCAAGTCAGACATAGCAACAAGGTGTGACATTGTTGATGCCTCAACGACCATGACAACAAAGATACACCAAAGACTGGAGCCATATGTATATCAGAGAAGCATCATCCAAAGTTGGTATTGTATACCGTGATTCTTTGTTGTTACAAATGTTTGTCGCCTGAATGTGGAACCAGGGGTGAAGAGGTAAAGACATGAGCTTGTGATGAATAATTGAAATAGATTATAGCCAGACTTGTATAATAAACATCGATTGCGCTATGATGTTTGATGATTTATTCTTTCTTTTTTTGGGTACAAATTTTGGTGGAGAGGTGTTCTTGCGTTTGGTTATGAGATAGTTTATACTACTTTGTTGCTACTTGTCTTTGAGGAATGTCAAAACGTTGTTTACCACAAGGGAGAATTTATGCAACTTGGGATATAACCAGTGAAAACATAATTAATTGAGCTAAAGACACAAATTCTATTAGCTGCAAAAATCATTGAGATTTGAGCATTTCAATTTGTTTTTACTGGAGCATCTCTAATATGGAGGTCCAAATGTTCTCTTACTCCAATTTCATGGCAGGCTAAAACTGTCGAAATACTTCATTTGTGCACTATATTTAAAATAATTTTTTTACTTTTACCTGTCCACACTATAGCATATCAAGAGAATAACAATTTTTCCCCTTGTATTACCCTCGATATTAATAACCCATTTCAAAATTTTCAAGTCCATTAACACTATACATAAATTAAATAAGTATTACAATAAATACTTTATTTATTACTCTCTTTGTTCACTTTTACTTATCACTTTTAACATTTCAAGAAAAAATAATTTTTTTTTTTCTATTTAACCTCAACATTAGTAATTGAATTCTCAAGACTTAAAATTATACAACAATTAATATGAATATTGTGGCTAAATATTCATAATAATTATTATTGTTAAAGGCGTGTTCAAAACAAATAAGTAATGAATGAGATATATCTTAAATGTAGTGCAAAATTCGAGGGAATAATACTTCATTTTAAAATACGCGATGTTTTTATGTTTTCGTTTTGCATCAAAATAAGTAATGCTTCACACAATGAACAAGACATTAGTAATAATTTTCTTCCAATTTTACCCTTATTTAAATAGCCAAGAAATGACATATTTTATTACATAAAAATATACTACTTACATTTTATTTTTAAAGGGGTGCCAGCCTAAAGCACAAGTTATATTCTTATGATTTGGGTGACGCACGCGCCGGCGTTACATCAATGCAACTCTTCGTCCCACAAAATATTGGAGCTTAAACCCCAGCAGAAAGAATTAAACAGTCTCCTGATAAATACCTCCGATGTTAGCTGCTGCCTGCTCGGAGAAAGAATTAACAATTGAGTTGGAGCAAGCAAGAAGAATAGGAGATGGAGGGAAGTTCCGGTTATAAGGACTATGTAGCAGGCCTCATGGCCGGAGTTGCCACTGTTATCACCGGCCACCCTTTTGATACTGTGAAGGTGCATTTCTGTTTTCAATTTGCCATCTTCTTTTTAACATTGCTCGTTCATTGCATTTGGGATAAGGTTTTCCTATATTGAGGAAAATCCTTCAGTAGGCACTTCTCAGTTCTCAATACTACTTCGACGGAATATATAGTTTTTTTTTTTTTTTTAATTTATTGAAATCTGTTTTCGTTATTCCATTTTCCAATTTCTCTGTAAATTTTGGGAAATTGAGAAAAAATATACTCAGCATCTTTGCTAGGCAATATTGGTGGATTACGTTATTCTTATTTCCACTCGTTGTAATCAATTTGTTCATCCTTGATACTGAATATGCTAATAGTGCACATATAAACTTCTAATTTTGTTTTACTCATATAAAAGATATACCTGAGATTGTGTGATATCATATAGGTTATACTTGATCAGTTGTTAGTGGTTGCAGTTCTGTGTGTGCCCCTATTGAGATGAAGTTTAACGAATTTAACAGCTTTGAATAACTATGAGTTTTGAAATATTTTAGCATGTATTTGTCAGGTGAAGCTTCAGAGGTACAACACTGAAGCAGGCGGAGTGAAGTACAAGAATGGTTTGCATTGTGCTACTAGGATATTACAGACGGAAGGAGTATTACTCTTAACTTTTTCCAGATCCCTGTCTACCATTATCTATCCTGTTAGTTCAAATGTTGTTTAGCTAGGAAGTTCGGATCTCTTTACTTGGATGTTTTGCTTGTAGAACATGACACTCAAAATTATATGTTGAATTTTTCAGTTGTTTGCAATCCAGTACTCATTGTTGGATAATCCCTTTTTTCCTCTGAAAAGTAACATGCTGCTTTATATATTTATAATGCCTGGGAGATGCATGTTTGCGCACACATACTTACAGACATACATAGACACGTGTGTACATGTGTCTGCATGCACAACAAAATTCTGGTTAACCAACTTGTATGAAGAAAACTGATATGAGGAAACAGCTTGTTTGTTGGCATCGCCCAGAGTCCTGGTGTGCTGATCTAGGTTTGATCTGACAGGTTAAAGGGCTTTATCGAGGCGCTACATCTTCCTTCATTGGCATGGCCTTTGAAAGCTCACTTTCTTTTGGCATTTATTCTCAAACAAAACGGTTTCTTCAGGTTTGTTATGTTTTTAATACATATTCTGCTTATAAATTCAATTAATTGCACTTTAATATGTTGAAAATATGTTGCTTGTGCAACCAATGAACTAGTATCTGCTGTTTAGATGCTTTTGCAACTACATGATGCAGGTCACTACTAACTACTATTTCATGAACATCTCTTTTTTGCTTTTAAAGGGAGAAATAGATGGTGGTAAGCCCCAGCCTCATGCAATAGTTCCTTCAGCAGCCTTTGGTGGAGCTATTATCAGCTTCATACTATGCCCGTCAGAACTGGTGAAGGTAAGTGATGCTAGAGTTCCTAACTTCCTGCTTTACTTGGAATACCATCTTTGTAATGTTGTTTTCCAGTGTAGGATGCAAGTTCAGGGCACTGATTTTATGGTAGCGAAGTCCACTAGATTTAGCGGGCCCCGTGAGTGTGCCCTTAAAACAGTTCAACAAGAAGGGGTGAGAAATTTCTTGATCTGTGCTTCCATTTAGGCTTAAGCTGTGCCTTCAAAACTGACAAAGAATCTCTCCAGCTTACCGGCATGTTTCGAGGAGGCCTCGCAACCTTACTGAGAGAATCTGTGGGCAATGCTGTCTTCTTTAGTACCTATGAATATGCACGATATTTCATGCATCTACAATTGAAAGGTGCTTCATCTGAGTCGACCCAATTGATTGATGTTGGAGTTGGATTAATGAGTGGTGGTCTTGGTGGTATAGCAGTGAGTATTAGTGGTTGGAGTTAATTTCTTTTGGGTTCTGCTTACTTATTCTTGATTAAGATACTGTTTGTACTTTCAATATGGAAGTAACATGTGTAATTACATTCATTCTTCTGATTTTTCTTCAGTTCTGGTCTGCTGTTCTGCCATTGGATGTAGCAAAGACGATAATTCAAACTACCCCTGAGAAAAACCATTCGAGAAATCCCTTCTCGGTTCTAAATTTGGTATTTATCATAATCTCACTTTGAAATTTGAAATACTAGAAACTAGAAAGTGCATGATTCAATTCATTTCGGTAGATTTACAGGAGATCTGGACTTAGAGGATGCTATACAGGATTAGGTCCTACACTGGTAAGAGCTTTTCCTGCTAATGCAGCGGCTATTGTCGCATGGGAACTGTCTGCCAAGTTGTTGGGGATCAGGCGTGACCAATGATTTTTTTTTGATGCTGCTTATTTCTTCTGCTTGCTGCTGGTTTAAAGCTTTAGTGGCTCTTGACAAGGTTACCACATGATTTTTTTGTCATGACATTGCTGTACTACTACTAGTCTGTCATCTGATTTCTTTTAGTGATATTAATTTATTTTATCAGTCTTTTAGTGACATTCATTTATCATCTGCAGTTCTGAGATTTATGGTTCTGTCTGTGGTGTTCCTCTCTTCAAAGATTAGTTTCTTAGCTAGGATTTGTGTGGTTATCATTGTTCAAACATAAATTGGTGATATATTCAAGATTTCATTGAGATGATTAGCTGCCAGATATTATTGAAGTTTCCTATGGTTAGAGAATTAATATCGAAGGAACTAACTGATAGCCTTTTGCATGAGCGGGACCACTTGATGATAGACACCTGTCTAGAACAGTTATATCTTACTTGTAAAAAAAGAAAGAAAAAAAAAAGAACAGTTATGTCTTGCACATTTTCAGTTATGAAAGATGGCATTACTAAATGAAATTCTCCCTCATTACATTTGCCATTTCTAAAAAAATGTAATTCTCCTTCTCATTGCATGAATTGGTGTATTATGCATATTCTAATCGCTGTCAAATGTAATTCAAACTAGCATTTAGCAACTTTGTTGGTCATCATCAGCCTTCCTTCTGCAAGGAAAGATCTGATATCTGGAGCTTGGTTCATGTTTCCTCTAATAATGATCTTCCGCTGCATAAATATCTTAAGAAATGATTGGGCTGTTAAATCTTCTAGGCTTTTAAATCTAGAAGATTTAACTCCTTTCCTCAAGATTTTGCAGTGTGAATATGAAAATACAGCTAATATGTGCCTAAATTTAAATATTAGACAATCTTGTGCCAGTAAGCAGCAGCAAAGAGAAGTAAATATTTTGTACTTAGATATAAAGTTAACATTTAGGCACTGAGTGGAGACCAACATTACAAGACTCTGCAGTAATTCTTTTATGTAGGGCAACTTGTTTTGCTCTTGAAGAACTTGCGCCATGTGAGCTTTCAGCATATTTTTGACACCTTCAGGTATATCATTCGGTAGATGTTAGTATAGCATGTGATACAAAATCTATGCAGGAGTGATACTCTAACACACTGTCTTTTGGGCCTGACACAAGTCATTTTAGGGGCTAAAAATTAATAAGGGGAAGAACTCCAAAAGATGTCAACGTAGTTTTGAAGATATCTGGTACATGCCTTGTCCTATAAGTTTCTCTGTTTTTCCATTGATGGCCAATTGGAAGTTTGATTGTTACTGTTTTAAAAGAAATCGTGATCATTTGGCGTTTGTTCTTATTGTTTTAGTTCCACTCACCTTGGTTTGGTATGTTAGCAGTCTCATTTATATTTGATGATGTAGTTAAATAAAATTGTAAACCATAATACTTTTAGGGCTTGTTTGGTTGGGAAACAAGTTATCCCAGGATTTATATCCCACCTTTAATGTGGGATAAAAATAACACTACAATCCCGGGATAACTAATCACAATTCATAGGATAAGTTATCCCGCAATTTTATCCCAACCAAACATGGGAATGAGGGATAAACTCATCCTAAAATTAATCCCGAGATTAGTTATCCCTCAACCCTCATACCAAATTAGCCCTTACGCTTTTAGCCTATAACCTCTTGGATCATACATTGATCTCAATCAAACACATTTTTGCCAACTCAAACATACCTGAGATAGGTCAAACTCTGAAAGATGCCTCAATTTAACAGGGCATGTATACTTATTTATCTCATAGAATTTATGTTTACAACACCCATTGAGAGTTGTTCTGTTCCCATAAGGCAAGAAGCATCTCAAAACATAGAACCTAACTTCTGGAAATACAGGGCCCAAAGGCTTTGGTCTTGTGGTCAGAGCACAAGTTGTGATGGGTGTAGGCGCACGTCATGAGTTCAAACCCTGTCGCAGACAAAAGCCTGTAATTAAATGGAGAAAAGTACATGGCGGACCCATTATTCACCAAGTTTTGGATTGTGCGCCACTTTCCCTTGGGGATTTCTTGGTTATCAAAACAAAAAAAGAAGTTACGGAAGTGCAGGAATTATAACAACAAGAGAAAAATTTAAACAAAAACCTCATAAAGTGAGTTGGAATGTCAACATGTAAGACTTTCGAGCACCATGTGATATGTATTCATACTACAAATATTTCAGTTTTCGAATACTAGCAGACAGTGCCATTCTTTTTGTCCTTCCCTTTACATAAGGGAAATGAAAGTACTATTAGCTAGATACTTGAAGTTCACAGATAACAATTTGCTTACAAATCCTGGAATTGACAGAAGATAGAGAACATGCTTAAACCACATCTTGTTTATGTAATTTGCTTCAGAAAGTAGGTTATTTCGCTGCCATTGATGCTGATGCTGCTTCAGCCCAAACTTTCTCCATGAGAGTCATATGTAATTTTACGGCGGCGCTCATTGTGACCTGCCAAACGCCTTCGGCAACTCCTTTTAGCACCATCAAACTCTGCTAACAGGTGAAATCTGCACCTCATCATGCGAACAATTGAAAATTCTCATTAAAAGCTCTGTGTTGCCCCTGCTCATTAGAAAATGATATACTCCTATACTTGGGAATCTGAAAGCAGCTGATTAGAAAATACATGAGATGGCTGTGGATGTGGCAGCAGCTAGAGTTTCTTGGCTGATTAGATACACTACATATTTTCATAGGAAGTAGAATTTTATTTAGAATACCTCGTTGTCAGTTGGATGAATTTTGAATAAAAAATTGTCTGAAGGATAATCTCTGTTTGCATGTGAAAAAGTTAATTGTTTCCCTTACCAGTATTTGTCTCTCCCTTCAAAGGAAACAAAAGAATCTTTTGTATACAATTTCAGTTGGAGTACAGCTTACCTTCTACTACCTAAAGAAGGCACGATCAAGAAGCCCTATCACAGACCATAGGGACTATTCTCCATGTTAGCATTATTTATTTACATTTTATTGTTCAACTTGAAGAAACCCTTGGGACAGTGAGACTAAGAGAGTGTTTGGATTGGCTTAAAAGTTGGTCAAACTTACTTTTTAAAGTTAGTTTTTGACTTCTGGAAGTGTTTGGCAAATATAAAAAATAACTTAAAATAAGTCAAAAATGACTTAAAATAAGTTGAGAAGTGTTTGGCAAGGTCAAGAATGACTTAAAATAAGTCAAAAACCAAAAGTAGGTCTCCCCCTACTTTTTATTTTTTGACTTAAAAGTCATTTTAGTTTGACTTTTTATTTTTGATTTAAAAGTTACTTTTTTTAAGTCAATCCAAACAGGCCCTAATTCTAAGAAGAAGTCATCATCATTGCTTGATTTGGCTTTTGTTCCATAACAAGGAAACCTAGAGGTTATTGACTGTCTCTTAATTGGATGTAGCCATGGTCTTAATAACCACATTTCAAAGTTATAGTCTAGAAATATCAATGGATTAATTTGGAAGATCCAGTAGTGTCCTGGATTCATTGTTATATCACGATTTAAAAGGCTGAGTTTTGCTTTTTCACAAAGTTTATGATTAAATAAATGATATGCATAGGATATTGTATGAAATTGATTGTTGCTGTTGTACTTTCGTGTCTCCATGTGTTAGTTCTTGCGTATGCTATTGGTATTGGTTCTTGATAGTAGGATTTCAATATGTTGCATAAAATGAATCAGCACTCAAGCTTAGATTACCTTCTTCTTTGTTTATTGGCTAATTGATGTTTTGATTAATGTTCCTCGTAACTTTAATCTAAGAAAAACTGGTTGAGTGCACATAATTGGTTTCCAAGATATTGCCACTATACAACTCGGAAGGCACAGATAAAATTAGAGTTGTTCATCAGAAAATAGGGGTTACTTACCTGCTACATTGCTGACAGAATCGCTGCTGGAGTTCACTAATAAGTACTATTGGAGACTTTGAATGGAACTCACACACCTTGTGGCGGCGATGGTATGGCTTGGCATCTGCCATATTTGCAGTGCACTGATCGACTTGGCAAGAAGGATGTGCCGACCCTTCACCAGCTAGCTTCCTACCAGAGAGAGTCAATACCCTTTTCCTTTTGCTGTCCTCTTCAACACTTTCACGTTCATCCTCTTCCTCTTCAGCTTCATTAATGCTTCTCTTCCCTTCCCATTTGTTAGTTTCCATCCCTGTGAGGAGAAACTAGTTGGGCCAAAATAGAGTGAGGAAGCCAGATGAAAGAGTATGAAACTTGAACCAAGGTAAGAAAAGAAAGGTAAGTACGTGTGAGGACCACCAGTTCCATACTTTTCCTCCTATGTGAAGTCTAGTAAGTGACTAAGTGGAGATGCTTTGGTGTTGAGATGAACTAAAGATTCTGATTGGTGTTCCGTACAGAAGTGGGCCAGCAAGGGTGTGGGGGAAGGTGGAATTATATTGAAAGTTGAAACTACTCTTACTGGCCTCAACTTTTTAACATGAACTAGCTTTAATGTAAAGAGAAATGTGACCATTCCATAACATAGTACATGAGACGTGAAGAGCATTTATGATGACTTTGCTAAAGTTTCTTTTAAGGTCTACTATTGAATTTACTCCTAGTTAGTTACCCCACTAACTTTTTGTCAAGGTTTTTTTTTTGGGCAGTCAGCAAGCCTCTCAGCATTCAGTATTCACTGTTTTAGGACGTGGAGAAGCTGATAGAACATCCAATTTGGTGCTTGCTAGTTGGTGGTCACAAGATATTTTGACCAATTAGTCAAGGAGTTGTGTCGACCGTAGACCAAAGCCAGTGGTTTGTGGTGAACTCACTCACTCTTTTCCTCTAGCTTTGGAGGGGATCAAAAGAGTTGGTGTCAAACAGTGGCACGTTTATTCTGTTGCCCTTGCGATAAGGGTATGCATTGCAATTGGTTGTAGTTACTTCTTTGTCTGGAAATTTCGAGTTTAATACCCGTAATAGCCATCTAACATAGTTTACGGTAGTTCTTTATGTAGTAGATTCTGAAGGGAGCCAACTAAGCAATAATTTGCACTATTATGATACTGCAAGTTGGTCTCTCAGCTGTCAATGTCGGCCTAGTAGAGTGCTTGCTGCACTTCTTGAGTGCTCAATTGTTGCACTGGCGCTCCATTATCACTAGATATCTAAATTCATCTACTAAACCCATCATTATCTTAGTTACCAAAAAGGAAAAAAAAAACATCATTATCTTGCACAGTTACATTACTCAAAATGAATTAACAAATGCCTTCAGTAACCCCTATTTGGTAGTCTTTTTCAAGCAAGGAGAGTCTTGTACTCTAAACATAGTGTATTATTTTTTATTTATTGAAAATGAACGGTAAAGAATTGCATGGTCCAGTGAATCAATGAACTAGTCGTGTATGATTTTGCCGTCTAATTTTTGTGATATGGACTTTGTTAAATGGTTTTATATCATATTTCCCTTTTTTTCTTCTTCTTGAGGTGGATATACTTTTGTCTTAATAATTGTGGGCACCTAGCTTTTTGATATCATAGCTATAGGCCCTAGGTATTAAATTGATAGTGCACTAATACAAGGACAACTCTGTAGCTATTAACCATATGAATTATTAAGTTCCAAATTAAATTATTGAAGCTAAAGCCTGAGTGCAATTGATGATTATATGTCGGTAATCATAAGTGTGTAGTATTGTTTTATAGCTTAATGGTTTAGTATTACAAGAATATTAGGCTTGTGTAGAGAGTTTCCCAAAATGACCTTATTTGAATATTCCCTATTACTGCTCCCTCTCTCGCCTCGATCAGTTTTTTCTTTCATATCAAAGATTGTTCCAATTTCCTACTGAAATAGGCAAATAGAGGGAGAACTAGACGTATCTTGCTAGGCAAAAGACAAGTTAAAACGAATAACTTGTGTGTAGGTAGGAACGATGGGATAGATCAGTGTTGCAACTACATATTCCCTTGTTGTCGAAGGAATAACAATGAAGCGCGGCCGAGAACTTTCTAGGCAGGACGGGGTGAGAAAGAATTGGAAAACCCTTTTATTTTTCTTAACACTTAAAATGGGAGTTCGGAGCCAAAAGGGTAAAAAAAAATTGTCAAAAATTTTAAAAGGGCATATCATTTTTTTTTTAACCAAAAGGATAAAATCGCTCCTGAGGGAGCGATATCCTTCGGAGAAAATTAATTCCGTCTACTTCGTTAAAATAAAAAAAAATCGCTGCCCCAGCAGCTATTTTGTTGATCTTTTTTATTGATTTTTTCTTAAAATCACTGCCTTAGCAGCGAAATTGTCAAAAAAAAATTATAAAAAAAAAATCGCTGCACCGGCAGCAATTTTGTCAAATTTTAATTATTATTTTTTAAATGGCTGCTTCAGCATCATTTTTTAAATATCGCTGCAATAGCAGCATTCTCTTTTCTTTTTTTTTTCTTTTTAATTTTTTTCCAAAACTTTTTTTAAAAAAAAAATTAAAGACAAAACGCTTTGGAAAAATAAAAGTTTTGGAATAAAACGCTGCTCAGCAGCTATTTAAAAATAAATAAATAATTTTAAAGAAAATCGCTGCAATTGCATAGACTTTAATTTAATTTTTTTTATGTAAAAAAAAAAGAAAAAACGCTGCTGGAACAGCGATTTACTTTTTTTTAAAATAAAAATCGATAAAATCGCTGCCGGTGCAGTGATTTTTTTTTTTTGAAAAAAAAAATTGGCAAAAATTTGCTGCTGTAGCAGCGATTTTATGAAAAAAGTTTTTTTTTTGTCAAAATCGCTGTTGTGGCAGCGATTTTGTTATATTTTAACGTAATGGAGTAAACAGAGTTAATTTTCTCCAAAGGATATCGCTCCAAAAAAAGAAATAGTTGCCAAACTTTTATTTTTCCAAAGCGTTTTATCTTTAAACTTTTTTTAAAAAAGAAGTTTTGGAAAAAAATTAAAAAGAAAAATAAAAGAGAATCGCTGCTATTGCAGCGATATTAATTTATTTTTAAAAAAAAGGCTGCTGAAGCAGCCATTTAAAAAATAATAATTAAAATTTGACAAAATCACTGCCGGTGCAGCGATTTTTTTTAAAAACAAATAAATTTGACAAATTTGCTGCTAAGGCAGCGATTTTAAGAGAAAAACAATAAAAAAAAATCGACAAAATTGTTGTTGGGGCAGTGATTTTTGTTTATTTTAACGGAGTAGATGGAGCTAATTTTCTCTGAAGGATATCGCTCCCTCAGGAGCGATTTTACCCTTTTAGTTAAAAAAAAATTGATATGCCCTTTTACAATTTTTGACAATTTTTTTTACCCTTGTAACTCCGGTCTCCTTAAAATGGATGTCCTTTCTTCGCGTTAATGGATAATTAATAGTGAAGGGGAGATACCAAAATGATTGACAAGGAGACTCCACGATTGGAAGAAAACAAAACAAGATTAGGACTTGGGCTGAAAAAGAAGTGAGGTTATAACTTATGAGAATGAAAAAATTAAGCGTATAAGTAAACATATACTAGTTAATTATTTAACATAGCTATAGTTTGTCTTAATTACAATTCGCGACCTACTTTTAGCTATAATTACGCGGCTCAACTTTTTAGTTTTGTATAATTCGCATGTTTGTATAATTCAGAATTTGTATAATAAAATTTGTATAACTTTTGTATAATTTGAAATTTGTATAATATAATTTGTATAACTATTTACACTTTGATGTTTTTAATTGTATAAATTTATTATTTCGAGTTTATACAAAAATAATTGAATTATACAAATGTACCCGTGAATTATACAAACCTGCAAATTATACAAATCCACGAATTATACAAACGAGACAGCTTAAACTGTAGCTACAATCCGTAAATATGCAAACTATAGCTATGGAGCATAATTAAGTTTATTATAGTGGTTATTTGTGAAAGTTTCTCATAAAGAATTAATCTTTTTGAAGGCTTAATACATAATAAGTCCCTTCATTTGTCACGATATTCTAGTTAGATATTTGAACTTAATCTTGTTTCAATTGAACACTTAAATTTCTAATAAAGTGTTCCAAGTAGTTACGTTCAATTTCAAATTTACAATAAACTTTTGCACGTGTTTTTATTCTTTTATTTAATAATTAAGTTAGCCACATAAATATGTCATCTCCTAATTATATGTATCAACCTCAACAAGAAAATATCTGGAGTTTATGGCTTATTGAAGCAAATGTGTGTGACTAAAGGAAATGATATATTTTATGTGGTTAACTTAATTATCTAGTAGACGAATAACAACACTCCATTTTTTAAAAAAAATTTAATCGAAAGTAGAGGTGTAGAGGTTTTCAATTGAAACAACATGTAATTCGAGTTTTAAAATTAAATATGCTGACAAATTTAAGGAGTTCGTCTGGTATTTTACCACCTTTTCAATCACTTAATATAAATAAGCTAGGCAGAGACGGAACTTTCTGAAATACCATTGAGAGTAAAGATTAATTTTTTTTATTTTTTAAGAATAAGTAGAAGTTACACCAAAATAGCATTTGCTAGTTTAGTCAGTATAAGAAGAGTGAAATTAGTTGGAGCCCAGTATATCAGCCCAATACCACTCATTAGTCCAGGCACAGAAAGAATAAGGACGGCCCATTTAGATTGTCTTGTTATTATTGCGGGAAATTAGGGGGTATACGGGGAAACTTTAGTAGCTCAATTGTGTGGGCCTTGGTAACATGAATATTCACTTTGTTGGTGTCGATTCGTTTTTCCACCTTATTATATCCTTCCTTGTTTCCCCCCTTAAAATCCTCATTTTTAGCACTTGCTATCAAATATTAAAAGTAATGACAATATATTTAGTGAAATCTCAAAAAATAGAATCTGTGAAGGATAAATTATGCGCAGAGAGACTGTTTCTCTCAACTTAAGTTAAGCAAATCATATCAAATATTAGCCACTATTTTAAAAATTATTATTACTAATACTTGAACCATTCTTTTAGTACAACTTTTTTTTTTTTTTTTGGATAAAAATATTCCCAATAAAAATATGGAATAATTCCAAGAAACGTTGCTGGAATTCAAAGAATTGATAACTGGAACTCAAGGAATCGTTTAGAATATTGTTAAAGTTTCAAATCATGAGTCGTTCCTTTTTTCCAATGTAAGTTCAAAATAAAGGAATAATTCTTGTCCCTATTACTTATAAAACGATGTCTAAAAACTCATAACAAAACCGAAAACGTTTTTTCTTCCTTTCCTTTTTTCATGTTTATGGCTTCATCATCCTATCTAGAAAATATGTTTAAGGACAAGAAAACAATAACATTTCATTTGAAAACACGACACCATTCTATATTTCAAGTTAGATAATAGGATATGTGATTAATAAGGCCTATGAACTATGAAGTATGAACGCCCGCACATAAGGTCAGGTCAAGTAGTCAAGTTTAAATTACAATCGA